ATGAAACAATAATCACTATAAAATGGATGCTTGGAGCTCAATGCTGAAACAAAATCTAATCCATTTAAGGTGAAGTGAACTGGTGTATGCAGCAAGTAAAAAGACAATTTTAAAGCCTACTGTAATCGTGTTACTGTAGTGCTAAAATCCAATTTTCTTGCTGACTCCAACTATGCCTCGCATCTGCCAAAAACATATGCTTTAAGCACACGTGAACATAGAAAATTGGTCTGATAAAATCGTGCATATTTTGTTCACTTGCAGACAATTGGTTTGGTTTTCAAACGATCGGCACAAGACTCAGTCACAGCTGCTAAATCGAGTGCTCTGTTAAGAATAATTTTTTTAATAAATATTTTATAAACAGAAATAATTTAACCAACCTTAAAATTGCATTACACCTAAAATCAATCAGAATTATATTTTGCCATTCCAATAACCGATAAGCTCATTCACAGCTTTTAGGGGGTCGTTCTAATTATATCAACTTGAAATATTGATTTAGATGGTCAGATAGCCGATAAGCTACAAGTGTTTGTTGAACGAATACAAGCTCTTGATAATCCAAGGAATGTTATCTGATAACCTTATTAGACTAATAACTGAACTTAAAAACAGAATTGAAAGCGAAAAAAAAAAATTTTGGTGACAGGCCAGCATCCAGCATAATTTCAAGTTCAGTTTTGAGTTTGAAACTGATTCTCATACTAGGAACAATTTCTAAAGCTTCTATGATTCAATATTCAAATTAGATTTCCAATTCTTTATTTGTAATTACTCAACACTCGACCCGAAACCTCGGCACATTATTAAATTGTAAGCTTTGCGCATTTTGTTTTGGCATTTTCCATCAGTACAGCCATTTTTCATTCGCTGAGCAAAAAATCAAATAAAACAAAGTCAGCTGCAACTGTAAGAAGCTGGGGCTATATGGCTTGGGCTGCGACTATCTATCTGGGGTTTGGGTCTGAAATGGCGCTGTTGTCAAGCGCATTTGCATTTTTGCTTCTTTTCTTCCCTTACGCTTTTGCTTTATTTTATTTTATTTTTTGTGTTGGTCAACTCGTTTTCTGTGTCATTTGTAAGACGTCCGTTGTCGGGCGTCAGCGTCACGTGCGTTCCGTTGCGTTGCGTTTCGTTTATTTTCGCCATTGTTCGCGTTACAGTTTCGATTTCAGTTTGTGTCAACAGACTGAGACCGGCCGCTATTGACCATCACCAGCAGTGTTGCCACCTTTTCAGAAATAAAATAGTAGCTGTTTTTGTCACGAAGAAGAGTGAAATACAGCCAAACAGAAATTAACAAAAATGCGTTTACAAATGATTCTTAGAAAAATTTCGTTTTTAATTTTTTTTTAATATTCTCGATGATTATTTTAATGCATATTTTTTTTTTTAAGACTTGTATAGTATTATCTAATTCAACGAAATCATCGTTTGAATCGCTTCCACATGACATACTCGTACCAATTGTATGTAAATATTTCGATGGAAATTTATAGCTGTAACAGCATTTTACAAACTCTTCGCAGTTCTTATCAGTATATGTACATTTTTTTTTTGCAGAAATGTTGGAAAAATTAAAAAAAAAAAAGCGGAAAAGAAGCTGAATGTTTCTTTAAAAAAAAAACAACCAGATTGGACGGGGAAAATAAAAGCCAAATTGGCAACACTGCTCGCCAGCATAGGCGGCATGGGAATGGGAACGGGAGATGGTCTAGTGGAGTGGAGTAGAGTGTGACGACCAAGGTGCCAAATGTGATATAATGTATGGATATATACAAGTTCTATATAATGTCAGCTAAACGCTTGCTTGCTAATATCGGATTACATCTCAGCCAGCGACATTTAAAAATGTTTTGTCTAATGAGCTCCAAATGAACTTGTTTTTTGGTGCCACCCAATTGTACATAAGTAGCTCGAAATATCGAATCTACTATTAATAATTCATCAGATACTTATTCCCGTTAAGAATATATTATTCGTCTTCAATTTCAATGACAGTGAAAACGTTTTCTCATCATTGGATAACATTGATAATGGTTTAGAGAGGATTGTATAATAAGTCTATTTTAAAAAACACCAGCTCTTCAGGTTCCATGACCAGTTCATTTATATATTTTATTCTGACTAAGGTGTTAAACATTTTATTATTAAATGCGACAGTACAGTGATTTAATAAAAAACTTACTCATCTCTAAATAACTAAATATAACCAATAGTAACAAAAAAAGTTATAAAATAACGCAGGCAATTGGCTTACTATATCATATATATCACTTATTATTCTTTAAATTCCAAAACTTTTTTTGGATTCAAAGGGATAATCATATTTGGAGGCAGATGATAGTGAGATTTTAAAACTAGAATCCAAAAATCCATTTCAGAGAAATTCCAATATACAATCCATATTCCCAATTTTAGATCCTGTACCCCACTGTTATAGTACTTACAATCTGTTATTGGCATTGACAGGTCCCTCAAGGTTTTTCTTGCAAGCAATGTCTCTCTATTATCCTCTACTTATAGCCTACACTTTGCAATTGGCTACTAATTGCAGCAATTAACTGGACACGTTTCGCAGAAACTTCCAAAAGGTTAAATGTAAAAGTATTATTGCTGTGGATTTCCGCGCAGGTGTGACTCAGGAATTACTCGTACTATATTCCCTCTAAACAGGCTGCAACACTTCCAACTAGTTCAAGTCCAAAGTCGTGCGATCGTAAAGAGTCTATCTGAAGGTCTACTCTGCGTGCCTGCAGTGAGGCGTAGAGACGTGGGTGTGCCATATATAATATATACTTGTACTATGTAAGTATGGTTCCGATAAGTTGTATGTGTGGTGGGCCTCTCTAGTCGATAGTTGCGTTACGCACGAGTAAGCCTTGTATATGAGACTTCTACCTATTTTGTAGTCACATTTGTTTCGGTTATACTCGTTTAACGACCCGTTTGCCACTTGAAATGGCAAACTTGTTTGAATTTGGCCAGAACGGCTCGCCAAAGTGGCAAGAGAGCGATGAAACTGTTTGGCAAAATGTGAATTTTTTCTTATTTATAGCACTACACAGATAGTTATGTATAGCCTCTATCAATAGACTATAGATTTCAGAGAGCCTTAGTGTCCGATAAGACTTATCTTTAAAGAAGTTCTAAAGATCGTTAGTATGGCATGGAAGGGGTCATATAGATGGTGCGGAAAGAAGGGTTGTGTCAAATCGGTCGCTATATTTTACCATTTTCTCAGAAAAATAACATCTTGTTAATTTTTAATATAATAATAATAAAAATGAAAAACTATTATGTTTAAAAATGGCTGATTTGCCAGATATTACATCTTCTTATTTGCAGCAAATATTTCGCCAGACATTTACACTTTTCTTCGTTTATTAGGTCCTATAGTTTCTAGCTGCAATTCTCAGAAAACGTATTACAATTGACAATATTAGCTACTAGTTGGTATTCTTCGTGGGTCCTTTATGAAGTACGGGTACTGAAGCCCATTAAGGAAGCGAGGAAATATTAGGACAGATATTCCATTTCTCCATAGACTAGCTACTTATGCAATAGTTTTTACATTAAAGTCTTATTCTTTTTCTTGGAGGCTTATTTAGAAAGCGAAGAAATGTGCATTCCAAGTCTTTTTCATTTAAAAAAAAATACAATGAATATCAACTGAGCTATGGGCAGACACACAAAAATTTGCACACAAATTTTTAAAATTTTCCAAATCAGCCAAACATTAAAAGATAATTTTCCGCGGTAATAACTTTCCATTTAATTTGATTTCTTGAAGTCGACTTGTCAGTGTCATGAAGAGTTTGCGTACAAATTATTTGCCTGACCAAACAGAGAGAAATAGGTTGTGTTCTGTTATGTTAGTCAGTTCCATTCGTCAAATCCATGAATTCGCATCTAATGAATGAATATTTTTTCCTACATACCCGAACCTTTTTGAAAGACAAAGTTTTCTTTACAAAAATATAAAAGTTTTGTGTGTAAATTATTTGTCTGTCAGAACGACAGCCCAAACCAGCCCATTCATTTTTTAGCTACACTCTTCTTGAAACCTTTAGAGAAGCTTACTTTTATAAAAACTATGATTTTAAATACGAAAATGCAATGAATTTGTTTTTAGAAACAACGAACCTTTCTTCATATTTTCTTATAATTGTAAGTAAAGTAATTAATATTTGTTGTTATTTTTGAAATCTTCAATAGACTATTTCTGCTTAAAATCCATTTAATCCAAGAATTTCATAAATTTGTGTTCGAAATATTGAAAAAATGTGAGTGTACTTTTCTCAAATTATATCTTAAAATTTTCAATAGACACTAAATTTGTTTACCATTTATGTAGAATTCTAAATCCAATGACGAAATATTTGAAAGCAAAGGTTATTTTCTAATATTCCTGTAATCTTCAATAGAATGTAATGTTTGGACCAATTAGTATGTTACATGAATTCCATGAATTGGATTTTTCTCACATACTCGAAATACATACTAATTATCAAATTATTCTTGGAATCTTTTTGAGAGATGGAGGGGCTAATTATTGAGCAATACTATATGTTTCAATATAATAAACAGTTTTATATTTTGGCCGCCATATTTGCGAGCCCAAACCGTACTTGGCCATCAATATAGCCGACTTTAATGTGCGCCACGCAGCAAAGACAATTCCAAGTGTAGAATGAAATAACAATGCCAGATAGATATGTGTGTACGACCAACCAATTGATTTTATAAGTAATGTTAATAATCATTTTGTTCTCAGATTGTTTGCTACCCCATGCATATATAATATAGTATGCCAGAGCTGGCTCTACTGAAGCTCCCCATATACATACAAACATACATACATTGTATATACTCGTACATGCGTTGAGCAAAATTCGCACGTACTAGCGCCCCTTACTTAGACTTACTATATAGATAGGCACACTTGTCCGATGTCGTTGCAGGTCGAGACAATTCAGTAGTGTTGTGGCCTACGTGTTAGGCAGTTGCATGGAGTAGCTAGTAGTCCCAAATCTAGAGTTCACAACCAGCAAGTTCTTGACCAAGTTAACAATATGCAAGTGCATCGCGTGAAGCTGCTGGCTGTGTCGGCCGGTGCGCTCATATTTGGCATTATATACGGTTGGGTTATATTTCCCAAGATCCTAAAGTTTATGATATCGAAGGTGTGTGTGTGTGTAAAGTGAACACAATTTCTCCACAACTATATACACCTAATTCTGTTTTTACACGGTAGATTGGTTCCAGAAACAACCGTGTAAAAAAGACAAAGATCATAAGCAAAATGTATCGCACTAAATGGAATAAAGCCGTGTAACCATATATAAAATTTTTATACATCTAAACAAGTTCGTCCGTCCGCCTGTCTGTCCGTCTGTCTGGATGAACGCAAGGATCTCAGAAACTATAAAAGCTGGAATAACCAAAGTTGGTATCCAGATTCTCCTAGGTCCGAGAAAGGACGAGTTTATTTATTTATTTATTTATTTTTTTTTTTAATTTTTCCCCCCTTCCCCCGCTACAGAATTTGGTCAATACTGTCCACATTTCAAAAGCTACATTAACTGCACGCATAATCTATATACAATTCTATAGTTTTGTTTTAAATTTCATCCGAATCGGTCAATACTAAGAATACTTATTAGCGAAACAATTTTACTCCAGTACTACGCCCACAAATTGCAGCATCAAGTTCGCTCTTCTTTTTCTTCTTGCTTCTGTTATGGGCGCATATAACCCAGTCCCGGAAATTTGTCTGGGCACAGGGTATTACACAGCCGGGCTCGCTCGACTGTAGCGTTCTCTCTTGTTAATTTTAAAACCGCGTTAAACCAAAATCGTTTAAAAACAGAATTAGATGTATATTACCATATATATGTATATATATATGATTGCTATATTTATGTCTGACTCCAGCAAGTAACGCTCAAGCCGGGCACTGATGTACGGGATCTTTGGTCAGCCACGCCATTTCCGTTGCATTTCTATATCTATGTCTTTAATGTGACCAATCCCGAGGAGGTTACAAAGGGAGGCAAGCCGCGCGTACAGGAAGTGGGACCATTTGTTTTCGAGTGCGTATGAAACCGTTAAATCAGTTTTTCAAATTCAAAGAATTCAAAAATTCAATACAATGATGCTTAGCGAGTGGAAGGACAAATATGATTTGGTGGACGATGTCGTTGAGGATACGGTCAGCTATAATATGCGAAATACATTTATTTTCAATGAGAAGGCCTCGAGTCCGTTGACGGGGGAGGAAATGATTACAATGCCGCATCCGTTACTGCAGGTGAGTGGACTTGAAAACATTTCAAATTAATCAAAATAATAAGTTGAGAGCCCCAACCCATTTAGCCATACTGCTAGCCTTTATGATCTCACAACAGTAGTTGTATAAATTATGCAAATACTTGGCTGTCGTCTGCCATTCCCAACGAAAATAATAAAATCGTTAACTTATCAAAGTGAAAATATCAAATTAGACAACAATTTGCACAAAGCTGTTATACGTCGCCTAGAAGCCTACGCCTTTATGAATTGCAAATGAATTGCAATTAGCGTCGATTTATCATGCAGCCTGTCTGTCTAACCTCACTTTTTTTCTCTCCAAAACATTTATTTCAACTCACTTGCCAGCCCGTCGGCATAACCGTGCTGCGTGAACGCGCTGCCATGATGGAACTTATTTCGAAAGCCCTGACTCTAGTATTTCCCGAGGGGAAAGCCTTCCTGACCACCAAATTTATGGACATCTTCTTTCGGGGCATCGATGTGGATTGCTCCTCGGAGGAGTTTGCAGCAAAGGCCCTCTGCACCGTATTCTACACCGGCGAGGTCAAACAGGCCAAGCAAGTGAATCAGACACATTTCCTCTTCTCGTTTTTGGGTCAGGTAAGCGAATTGTTTGTGTGAATAGATATTTTATATCGAATATAAAACTAATGGTACTTAGGAGTTCTGGTATTGCATGCATTTGAAATCATTTTGAACTGATTTGATTTAAAATGATGAGTTAGTCAAGGGAAGCACGAATTATCGCATCACTTACTGATGTGATTTCAATTGAGAAACACGGCTTTGCGCGTCAGTTTGTGAAATCACATCAGTTTTTAATGTGACATTAACGGAGAAGCATGGATTTGAATGTGAGTTTTGAAATCGCATCAGTTTTTAATGTGACTTTAATGGAGAAGCATTTGAATATGAGCTTGTGGTTCCGCATCAGGTTCTGATGTGATTTCAATGGAAAAGCATGAATTCGAATGTGAGTTTGTGAAATATCATTAGTTTCTGATTTGCGGATGTTTGATGTCTTGGTTTGGTCTTGTAAAAGATTATTTCCTATGTCGACAAATATTAGTTAAGAAGTGAAAGCATAATATGCTTAACATCATTATAAAAGATGTAATCAGATATGTTTGAGCAATAAGGTCTAAATTAAAGAGGGAATTTGAAAATAGAAAAGCGGGCCAGTAGGCTTTTTCCACACTACTTTAACATCTTTTTAGGGAAAGGACTGGAAAAATATGAAATTTCTATAATTACAGCACCGTGAAACTCTAAAGCTTCACGACATGCAGCAGATTTAAAGACTTCTAGAAAAGAGAATGCGATTTCTGTTTATACTTTATATTTCTTTTATTGTTTTTATTCAGTTTCTAAACACATCACATTATCTACATTAATATTTTAGAAGCTTAGTAGATTTAACTTGCTTATTATATATTTTTTACTATGAAGGGGGATTGGGTAGTTATTTGTTGACATAAAAGAGGTGCTCAATACAGGGACCCTCCTTCCCTAGTCGAGGTATGGAAGGCTAAATTAAATTTCTTGTAATCTAGACTGGTCGCACATTAAAAATAAATTTCTAATTCAAAGAATTGTCTTAAATACTAAAATATGATTGTAAATCCAAAGATTAACTTGTTTTGATTTGATTTTTCAATTGATGTGATGGTGCAGTCCAATCATTCAGATGCCGGTCGCTTCACAGTCTGTCGGGGCGTCAAGAACAACAAGAAATTGGGCAAGGTTGTAAAATTTGCTGACGAACCGGAACTGGACGCTTGGCCTGGCGATGCCTGCAATCAGTTCATAGGCACGGATTCGACTGTGTTCCCGCCAGCGATGAAACGCGATGCGGGCATCTGGGCCTTCACGCCCGACATTTGTCGATCGCTGGGCGCCGTTTATCAGCATAAGTCGTCGTATCATGGCATGCCCGCATTGCGATACACACTGGACTTGGGCGACATACGAGCGGATGAGAACTTGCATTGTTTCTGCGATGATCCCGAAGATTTGGACACATGTCCACCGAAGGGCACCATGAATTTAGCGCCATGTGTGGGTGGACCCTTGATTGCGTCCATGCCGCATTTCTATCGAGGAGATCCCAAGCTGGTGGCCGATGTGGATGGTTTGCATCCGAACGAGAAGGACCATGAGGTCTACATAGATTTTGAATTGGTGAGCGCTGCATGAGCTCTAATTTTCAGCTTTTGTGAACACTCTGTTGTACTCTTTCGTATCCAGATGTCGGGCACACCTTTTCAGGCGGCCAAACGCTTGCAATTCAATTTGGATATGGAAGCGGTCGAGGGCATTGAGCCGATGCGGCACCTTCCCAAGCTTATAATGCCCATGTTTTGGGTGGAGGAGGGCGTTCATCTCAACAAGACATACACCAATATGCTGAAGTATACGCTGTTTCTGTAAGTCCCAATTATTTTCGACTTGCAAACGCCTAACACACTCTTTTACCCTTTTCAGTGGCTTGAAGTTCAACTCTGGTCTGCGCTGGACGCTCATAACGCTCTCCCTGGTGGGTCTCATGTCCTCGGCCTACTTGTTCTATCAGCAGTCGGATAGCGTTGATATAACCTTGCCGCCTAAAATCATTAAGGAATCGAACAAGGTTTCCGATGTCATCGCCAAGCCGAAGCCCACGGCCCCCCCTCCCCCACCACAGTTGCCACCCATACCAGGCGCTGATCTCTCCAATCCCAAGGAGACAAGAGAGCGCTATTAGCATTTCTTTGCACAAAAATGCATACCGTAGTTACTTCTCAGACCTGTTAGATCTAGCTTTTAGCTGTTGTTGCTGTTTTAGTCAAAGCACTTAATAAAATACAAAGTTGTTGAAACTTTCAAAAGCAGATAAGAGTATATTATTGATCGTCATAGTGGCCTATAAGTACTTTGCTGACAAAACAAATCATCTTTATAAATAAATCGATTGAAAATATTTATTTCATCATCGTCAATCGATGGTTTAATATTCCAGCACAGTTTCAGAATTAAACCTAATTTCCGACTTTCCATTAAATGCCGTCCCCCTTTTTTAATATAAATTTTTTATTCGTAACACAATTGCTTAATGATTGCTGTAATTTATGCGCATTTATAACAAAAAGTCATTGTCCTCGAGTTGCACAAAGAAACATCGTCATCGTCATAGTCGTCGTTGTTGATGACAATTTCTTAGCTGGCGGACAGAAATGGACAGTTGCAATTGCTGCAAATTGTCGGGGGACTGGGACTACGACAGCGCACCCCATGCCGATATTCTCCGGTTATATCATCATCATAGATCACGATTAGATTTCGTGGTATTATGATCTCTGCGAGCAGCACTTCCAACTGTTCGCAGTCCCAATCGTTGTCATCGATATAAAACCTATCGTATTGCCGGAAATAATCAAAATCCTTAACATAGATTTCGCGCAACATATTGTGGGATATGTCCAGATAGGTCAGATCGGGCACTTTACTGAGAACATGTCTGGGCCAGGCGGTCAGATTGTTTTGCGAGAGTGTCAAGCGTTTCAGCTCTGTGGCCGGCCAGGGGTCTGGCAACGCTGGCAGCTCTTCAATGCCGTTCAAATTCAAATCTTTCAGGGCACTGGCATGCTTGAGAAAATCCAAATTCCGCAGGTTTGTGAATCGTAGCGACAATTTTTGCACAACTTGCGGCTGCGCTAGTTTTAACGTTTCCAACATTTTATTCTCGTCTAGTTCTATATTCAAAACATATCCATCTAGTTGCACAGATTTGAGGCCACAATTCGGGGCATGCAGTTCACTTATATTGGCCGATAATTGCAACGTTTTTAGTTCCCGACAATCCTCAAGACTTAGACGTTTCACAGTCTGAAAAGTATTACTATCTATGTGTGTGAGCGGATTATTTGTAACGAAAAACTCCTCCAGATTGTGTTGAAGACCGAAAAGACCGGCTGGTAAGCCCGCAAGTTGATTCTCTTCCACATCCACCCAAACGAGTTGTAACAAGTTCGCAAAAATATCCGCTGGCAACCTCTTGAGACGATTATTAGACAGATTCAAGCGCCTAAGATTCTTAAGACCCGTAAAGACTTGCGCTGACAGCAATTCCAGCTGATTGTCCGACAATCTCAACTGCTCCAGTTGTGGGGCCAACACAAATATGTTATCTTCCAAATGGCCGATACGATTGTCTCCCAAATCCAGTTTTAGCAAATTGTGAGCATTTTGAAAACACTCGGGAACTACGTGCTCTATGTTACAGCCATAGGCTTTCAGCTCATCCAATTGTGGCAGCGTGACGAACACATTCAATGGCAGATTGGCCAGCTTGGAGCCGCTCAGCACCAGACTCGTATAGTTGAGTAGATTTTGCACAGCATTATTAACGAAATACGCCACCTCTGAACTCTGTTCGTAACGCAATTCCGCACACACATTTTCATTGCATTTACTTGCGAGATCTGGCACTGGAATTTCCACGGGTGAGAGGGCAAGCGCGGGCGTTAAATGGATAACCGCAAATAGTAAACAACGATAGAAAAACACAGACATCTTGATGTTTGCTCGAGACTTCCGCAACTGAAATGTGTCACTTGCTTGAGTTGCTTTTTCAAGCCAATCAGAATCGTGCTTGGCCTTCGAAAAATGTGGCCCTATAGAGAACTGGTCTTGAACTTTATTCAACTAATTGTTTAATGGCGTCATATAATTAATAAAAACCGAATAGTTTCCAATGCGACAGAAGTGCCAACCACGCCGACCCGGTTCTACTTAGTTTGAAAGCAAAACAAATGCTAATCAGCAAATAGCAGGCTTTGAAAGAACATCTTCTGTCATTCAACTCATACTTCGAACTTTGAGCAAAAGTTAGGCGAATTTGTTTTAATTAGAGCTTCTCCTCCCTCTCTCTCCCTCCCTCCCTTCCTTGCTTTTTCTGTTACCCTCTCTTTCTTTCTCTTTCTCTGTCTTGAGTAATGATTTTTGTGTTCTCCATGGTTTAGTGTTTCCCCAAAAGAATAAATGGAATAAATAGGTAGATAGATTAATATAAGGATGGAGAGGTAAATCGAAAGATAGATGGAGAGATGAATCGGAAAATAGATCCAGAGATAGATCGAGATAGATCGATAAATAGGTAGGAAGAAAGATCGAGGATAGATCAAAAATTTTCAAATTGATTTAGATTAGGCAGAATTTTATCTATTTTATGGAATCGAAGCCGGTTCTATAATTTCATCTTCAGAAATGTTATTTGAAATATTCTTAATTATGCTTTATCGACCACTTTAAAAATGAATTGATTTTAAATATCCCGCGGATAGCAAAACCGTAAAGTACACCCTAAAAGTATTCTGCTTCCAGTTTAAATTGTATTTCCACTAATAAGCTTCTTGTTACAAAGAATGAAATCAACCTAAGCTCTGTTTTTCTAAATCTTCTCAGTTGTTTTTCTAGGAACTGCCCCATCGAAGTCGATTTTAGATAATACTGATAATTAGTTAGACTCATGATGTCGTACGTAGGGACTATATCGTGTCGAATTTAAAAACAAACGCTCATAAAAATTTGCAAACTGCTCAATGAGCGCGGCATTTGTTGTTTTAGAAGATTATTGAGGCGTAGACGGCGATAAGCACGTTTGGAGGAACTTTTATGTCTAATTTTTCAAGCACTCAGCACCAAAAGTTCCCCCAATGTATAAATTTATGACCAATCATTTATATCAGCTGTGTGACTGACGCTTAAATCCCACACTTGAGGTATTGAGTGTACATATATATAGTTTATACTTTTTTTCCATTTGGTGCTTTGCAATGTGTGCCAAGTTCGGGCAGAATATGGGGAATCGGCTACTGTTTGATAAGAGTAGTTAAGTCAAGATACAGTATGTGCGATCCATGTTATTCAACGAGCTCTCGTAACTCGATTAATGAGGCATAGTTATGTTAGTATAGGTTTCATACAAGTGAATTCGATATTCAAAAAACACAACTTTGAAATAACAGTGGGGTGAGAGTTTTGGCAATGGAATGCCGACAAAAATGAAAATACTGCAACTCGGATTGCCTTGATTATTGAATATAAGATAAGCAGAATCCAGAACAAATCTTCCTCCTGTTTCAAAACATTGAATTTTTCTTATCATTTTTGTTGCATTTATTTCATTTATTTTTCTTCCTGAACAATTCTTAGTTTTACATTAATTTTTATTGAAATTATTTTGTTTGTTTATTTCTGTTCTTTTATATTATTTTCTTCTGTTTTATACTTTAATTATCTCTGATAACTCCGGGGAAATCTGTGACCACTAACGGGTGTGAGTCGAGAGTGACAAATAAATTTCCCGCACCAGGTTTGAGAATTTATCTGCTGCTTACTATTTTTTAGTCTGACCACATGTCGAAGCCAATAGACATTATATAAACTTTAGTTAGATTATTTTATTTAATTTCTTATCTAAGTTAAGTTTATAACACATTTTCACTTATTTCGACCATTCGTATTTGTTGACGAAGCGTAAACAGAAATTCCCCCAATAATTATATATTAATTCTATTTTAGGGTATTCTCTACTTTGATAAAGTTGTTAAAGGGGTTTGCGATTAGTTGTTTGACATTGGGCTAAATTGTTGGGTTAAATTGAAAAGAAGTGGCTTTAAAGTCTGATTTTAATGGTGATTAATTTTTCCGCATTGGGCAAAATTTTTGGGTTCAATTGGAGGCAGAAGTAGGCGTTGAAAATTCAGTTTTATGTTGACAGCCCTCAAGCACAGTATGGATATTGACTTTAAGGCCCCATTTTAATAAGCCAGGCGTCAAGTCAACAACAAATTAATGAAATAAATATTCCATAGATGTAAGCATACGTACCCCTACGTGTATATACATATATAGTATGTATGTATGTATTTACAGAGAGGCAAACATTCAGACGCTGATTGTTAAGACTTTGAGTCATTTGTTTACACAGCACAACTATTGTGGAAAATTTGATTTAAATTAAATGCCGGCCAGCAACAAACAATAGGACGCCAGCAGCAGCAGCAGCAGCGACAACAATTGGGGAGCGAAGACTGAGCGAGTTCGGTATTTGTTGTTGTTGTTGTTATATGCAAAGTAATTGCGGCAAATTGAATTGGAAAAACGACAAAAATTGATCGCTAAACGAAGTCATGCCGTTTCAATTGAACGACAACAACAACAGCAACAACAGCAACAGCAACTAACAATCGCCAACTTTGAACGGAACGAGTGAAAGCATATGGCAAATAATAAAGGCGGCTATATACATATGTACTATGTATATGCAAGAGTATGTACGAGTATGTACTCGCATTTGCACTAATTAGCAATAAATACATATGTATGTCGATAATGATTTATAATGACTATATAAATGTATGTACAAGTATGTATGTACAGGGGCATTTGAGAAAATGCAAATTGGCGTGGCTATTGTTTATTTATTTGTTCGCCCGCCCATCTTATCAGCAACGCAAATAAATATCGGCAGCGACTTTTACCCGACTTTGGAAACCGGTTAAATTAATTCCAGCCAACAAATAATAAATTGTTTGCATGTTTTTTTTTACCTAATTTTGTGTTTACTTTTTATTTTGTTCCATAAGCTGTAAGAACACAATTTTGATTCCATATAGGAATTGTTCTTAGCAACGGGTTTAACTTGTTCTGATAACAAATTGTTATAATTTCCAAGCACTATAAATTATAGTCGTTAAGTAGCCCTCCCAACTTGTGCTAACAATTACTTTATTTATGAAATTCTACAAATCACATTTTTAATTCTGATGGTACGAGTAGCTAGAGGTTTAATTTTTTGCCAATTTTCTGCACAATTACAAAACACACATACTTGTACTTATACTTAGTATGTTACAACAACAACGACAAATTCGAAACGCAAAATCTTTGCAAAACCAATTGTTGCTCATAATTTTGTTGAGCAAATGCCAAAAGGCAAACAAATTAAATAAATAAAATAAATAAGCCCCAGCCAGCACTAAATGTGAAAAGCAGCAAGGTGTGATAAATCGTTGCCGCATGATTGACAAGTCGTTGTCGAAATACTCTACAATTTCTGCATGATTCATATTTTGTCGGAGAGTTAGAAGAGCGGGAAAGGAAAAAGGCCAGGTTCCTCGAAGAAAATTCTGTTTGTGATTGAAAAACTCATTTTCGGTTTATGTGAAAGGGATCTTCGTAAATCTTGTTCAAATACCTTTATATATTCTAGAATGCATTGCGATCATAGTAAGTGATAATATACCTTGATGACGGTCCAGCCCTCTACATCTTCAAAACAAATGCCTGATTGTTAGAGCAAAGATTTTGTAGTTCGGAAATATTATTTCAGCTCTTCCATCTCCAATACGACAACTATATTGGAGGTCTCTGCAAGCGTGCCAAATTTCTATTTGGGCAGCAAATTAAAATATAACTGAAGCAATGAGAACTTCGGCATACCCTACCCACTTGGTCTGCCAACAATAGCAACATTTTTAAAACCTGAATTACAACGTCAATGGAACATAAGCTGGATAGTAGAAGCCTGCTGTTTAGTTCTCAGAAATTGCCAGAACGCAGCTTCGTATTGTGAATGATTTATTTAAAATTCTTAAATATATACAGCAAGTTGCTTTCTTTATGATTTCTAATAATCTCGCTCAAAGTTTGGATAAAACAAGTCTTAATAGAAGTTTCCCAGCTGTTATGTTTCAAAAGTTATAGGGGTTCATACAGTCGAACAGATGAACGGGTGCTCAGACATATAGGTATATTTAGCGATTTTCTAGTACACCCTTTAAACAGTTTTCTGGAATGGACACAATATTTAACTGTCTGTTCATTTTGAAGTAGAACGATTTAATTTTTCCTCTTTGTCCAGTTTTTCAAGGGTAGGAAAGCGTGCACGATTTCACTGTAAAATGAATCATATGCTTTGGCATAAACAGAAGTTCCCACGATAATAGATTTCCAAGAATGACTGCTTGCAACAAATTGTTTAATTATACAAGGAAATTATTTTTGCTAAATTTGCAATATAGTCGAGAGCATTCTGCTATAAAGTACCTACAAAGATATATAGTCTATATCGCTTATTCAGATTCACACATAATCATTTTCTAATCCATTTCAGTGCATTTTCTCTGCTTTTTTTTGTTTACCCTATTAATATTGCCGAACAGCTGTGTTTGTTAACATTTTCTCTGCTATTTATATTTAACATTTAATTTATGCGCACAAATAAAATTAGATCTTTTAATAAATTATTGCAAACAATTTTCGCATTTAATAGGAATTATTTCAAGAATTTTGATATGTCAAAATATTGAGAAACTTGCACGCCCAAGTCATTTATTTATATACGTTTTTAACTGAAATCCACTGAAAATTGCGAACGTCTGACGGTCTAGTCAAGTATTTTTTTTCCTCTTATCAGACCAGTGATTTGTACTTTTTAGAGAAGTTTGTGTACATACAAGGTAGAGTGGCTATGACAGTGCCTACAAACAAATATATTTCTATATACATATATGATAAGACAGACAAACGAGCAATGTTTACTTAAGCAGGAGAGACACTCAGGCACCTAGATCTTAGATGTAGATAGATGTCACGCGAAATATATTCTATTTCTACTCAGAGACTTAAAGTTCAAAGATAATATCTGACTGATTGAACACGTTTAATGCACAAGAGCTCGAGTTCTGCATATATAATGTTTCTATAATATATAGTAGATGGTTGATAACATTGTTTACTCAAGCAGCAGAGACACTCGGGCACCTAACACTACAGATCTTAGATGTAGATAGAGGACGCGCGAATTATATTTGTAGTCAGAGTATTGAAGTCTAAAGATATCTGTTTGACCGATTGAACCATTTTAATCCAGAAACCAGAAAGGTTAGTAACAAAAACAAATAGAATCAAACATTTCTTTATTTTTAAAAATTGAAATGTGAAAAAACAAAAATAGCAAAAAAGTAAATAATAATAAAAATATATTAATTAAAATAAATGAAAAATAAAAAAATTGTATAAAATACAATAAATTAAAATAAAGGAGTACTAATAATATATAACCTTTTTTTAAATAAATAAAATTTAAACAAATAATAGAACACAAAAAATCAAATAAAAATATATGAACTAACGTCAAATGTGAACAAATGGTATTTATATCGACGAAAAATACAGTTTTGAATGAAATATTTTAAATAAATAAATATAAAAACAAATTTAAAATATATAAAAAAAATAGATTTTTCAAAAGTATTATTTTTTAACTTCAAAAAGTGCTCACTATATTTTTCTGATTGCCTGCAAATTTTTCAAGGCTTTAAGTATTTTTTTATCCAAGTTGTGAGACTTTTGCAATTTGCGATTATTTCTTTTCATTTTGCAAATGTATAAGTATATATCCATCCCATTACATTTCGCATAGAATTTGCATTCATTGTTCAATACAGTGCGGATGTTCAGCTTCCAATTAGCTGGGCTCACAATTCCAATGAAATTTAAAATATACTCCTATACAAATGTCAAAATAATGGCAACAGAACAAACACGAATACCTTTATATACATCTGTGCGAGTATATATAAATGCTATCTCTTTCAACTTTTTTTTTGAACAAAATCAAACACCATGAAAAATAGAAAATAAATTATATAGCATGGCAAAAAAAAGTGCTAATAAACATATGTTATACATATATTTTATATAGAATATAAATATGAAGCGATTTTGAGTAACGAGCCGAGCTTATCGCAATGTGATGAGCATTTCAGTCGCTGAGCAAACGTTGTCGAGTTAAAACACGCATACGCCATGTACGCCCGAAAGCAACTAATATCTCTGCTATGGATCCTCAGCACAACTGTGAGTCATACTAGAGTATATACTATATACTCGTATGTATTAAATAAACAAAAATACAAAATTATTAATTGCAAAATGCAGCTGTACTAAATTCTCTGAGAAATCTTCTGATCTCTAGAGGATTACTGATATATATATAATGGAGATTAAGTGTTTGATTTTGATTCTGAACAGATAAAATCCTCTCACCAACAAATTATTATTAAAATTTATGCTGGATTTTTGTTTATTTCTGCTTGGATTTCCTTTTTTTTCATAATCAACTCAGCTTTAAAGTATTAATAAAAAAAAGGCAAACCCTCTTATCAATTTTCTTTCTACTGTTCAGCTTAGTTGTATTACTAAATAAATAATCTTTTAATCTTAAAAGTAATACTGAGAAATACTGAGATCATTATTTAAAATATCAAGATTATGAACAAGTTTACTTTTGATTCAAAGCATGAGCATTTCTGTTCAATTCTTTAACAATGTTATTATCTGTCTTCCATTCAGTTGAGCCACAATTTCTTTCAATAATGTTATAATCTTTCAATAATCTGTGCTTATTTTACCCGATTTGTTGTATCTTCTTTCCTTTTAGTTAAGCCACGCCGATGAGGATATTGTGACCGATAATATGGAGGACAAGCACTTAAGAAACATTAACAGTTTGAGGGAGAATTGCGATTTGGTTGAAAGCCGCTGTCAAGGCTTCAATTTCCCGATGGCGGATGAGGTGGCGTTCTTCGATTTACAAACGGAGGTGCGAATAGCGCCGGATGGTGCCACCTACCAATTGGGAGGCGAGAAGCGAATGGAGAGGCTGACATTTGAGAACTCGACGTTCGTGAACTTTCCCTTGCACTTGTTTTACGAGCTGGAACTTAAGGAGTTGGACATGCGAGGCTGTAATGTGCGGCACGTGACTTGGGACGCTTTTCTGATGGCCAACAAGCTGCAAGTACTGCTCTTGAGTCGGAATAATATACACCGTCTGGAGGCGAGTGTGTTTGGTTTTGCCACTGAGCTGCAATATCTCTTTCTGGATGGCAACAAATTGCGTCACGTGCATGCGCAAACATTCAAAGGTTTGCGCAAGCTGCGTCATCTGGATTTGAGCGAGAATCGCCTGAATATATTGCCAGACCATATATTCGATGATCTGGAGCAGCTGCGAGAAGTGGTTTTGGCCCAGAATCGTTTGCGTGCGATTGGCAATGAGCTGTTTGCGCACAATTCCCAGCTACTGATTGTGTCATTGCACACGAATCGCTTGCGTGAGCTGGGAGAGTACGCCTTCCGCTCGCCAATGCAACAACAACAAAGAGAACAAGCTCAACCTCAACAACAACAAGATAGGGAAGCAGTGAAGCCGCGTCAGCAGCTGCTGAACCTCGATCTATCGCACAATGAGCAGCTGAACGTTCTGGTTCTGAACCTAAATGCCGGCTACCTATGGGCTCGCAACTGCTCGCTCTACCGTGTCAATGTGTACGGTTCAGTGACGAATGTCGATCTGAGCGATAACCGACTGATGGAGCTATATTTCTCGGCGCCCGAGGCACTGCAGCATCTGCAGTTGCGCAACAATTCGCTCGCCCAATTGGCCTCGTTGTCCCGTGTGCCCAACTTGCAACATCTGGATGTGTCCGACAATCCGGCGCTTAAGGAATTGCCCGCCGGCTGGCAAACACCCGCTCTGGAACTGCTTGACATCAGCAATACAAGTCACACGGAAATGCCGATGGCAGCGCTCGAGGGCATGCCACAGTTGCGCAAACTGAACGTATCGGCCAACAACTTGACTGAGATAGATCCGAATGCATTCGATCGACTCTCGCACCTCACACATTTCTACATACATGCCAACAACTGGAATTGTTACAACCTCAATCTAATTATGGATTTGCTAATTAGGCCCCATGGCATTACCTATACAGTGGATGCATTCGATCAGTATTTCCCAGGCCAGTACATCAATGGCATCGCTTGCATGTATCGTCTGCCAGAGGACGATGATTCGTCGAACGAATTCGAGAGCAGAAGTTTGGAGCCGCGGCCAGAGATAATGGACACGCAAGCATCAGCGAGTGTGGAGAACCTTCAGGAACTAAAAATAGATCCCGCACTCGAGGAAGTGAATAAATTGAGACAGGAACTGAAGGTTGTTGTGCAGCATTTTGAAGAAAAGTTGGATCGCGTTTCTGAACAATTTAATGCATTGGATGCCAAAATGAAGGCAATTGAGACTTTGAACAGCACGTTCTGGAAACAAGTGACCATAACCGTTTAATTGTTTGTGTTTGAAAGTTTTGTTTTATTATAATTACCAAAAACCAGAAAAGTAGAGATCCAACAAATGTTATAAATACAGAATTTTTCAAAACACTGATCAAGCAATGCTCATCTAGAAGCAGGGGATTAGTTTTCTCATCTTTGAGGAAAAGGGAAAGCTTAAAAACTCTTTGACTTTATTGTAAGACTTGACAAATTTAAAAAAAAAAAATCAAAACTGGAAAAGAAATCTGGAATTGTCATATAATTCTCTTACCTAAGTTTAAGAGTACTTTGACTTTTGGAAAGACAAATCTTATCAACAATTTCGATTACACAATCAAATATTTGACCAATACTGTTTGTTCAATATTGATTTTTTTCAAACAAGCAAATATGTTGGTGGGGTGAACGAACTTGCCACAAAGAGCCATCCGTACGAGCCACAAAAAAGGGCAGCCAATGCAAACAAATACAGCAATACCATCAACAATGGTCGCTCCAAAGAGTACACAATTCGGATGCGTATTATGTTCATACATATATATGTGATGACATAATGGAGCAGCTTGCTTTTACATCAGAAACTCTTAAACTCTTCAGGCTTCTCAGCTAGTAGACTTTTATGGCACTAAATACATTTTAAACTCCTCTTTTCTTCTTAAGCTATGGTCAGACGGGCAAATAATTTTCACTGAAATTTGTCAAATTTCACAAACATGCCGTAAATACACTGACGAATTAGATAAAACCGATATTACAAACTTTTTGGGGTCTACTTTTTGAAGAGCACTTCAAAAAGAACACAACTTTCTGCGCAAATAATTTGCACGCCTGACCGTAGCTTAAGAAGAAATCGGGAGCTTAAAAAGCACCCATCGACATGATGGACGGGTTAAAAGCAATGACCTATGATCTCTGGTCATTTATAAGTCTTCACTCCTTCACACAGAGTACGATTAGCATATCATTCCTGCTTGTATAAGTTAACCCTGATCCTTTTCTTAGCCATTCGATTATCTATTGCCTGCCTGAACAGATTTAATCGCTGCTTGGCTGCCCACAAAAATCAATTTAAACATTCACAGTACAACAATAAAATATATAATCAGAAGAAGCATCTCACTTTCTTAAAATACATTAATGGTAAACTTGATTTAGGTTTTGTTTGTTGCATAATTATGGAAAATTTTTGCCCCAAAAAAATGCCAGCAACGGAGAAATTTTTTCTGGAAGTCAGCGATATTGTTGTGCAAAATCATTCACCTTATTCCCATAAATCAACAGTCGAATGCGTTTCGCCAACACAATTATTTCACATGTCATATGCAATTTTTGACACAATCCCCCAGCCCCTCCCCCATCTCCTTCTCACCTAGTTGTTGTTGTTGTTGCTGTTGCTGTTTTCCAACCATCGAGCAGCAACGCTTCGCTGCACTGTTTTGCCCTTTTCGTGACAATAACAAAAATATGAAAAGAATGAAAAGTTTTCGCTCGCTACCTGACTGCCTCTGCCTGCCTGCCTGCCTGCCAGCCATAAACAAATGAAACGAAATATTTGTTTAAATATCTTTTTGTAGTCATCGCCAGCGCGTACAAATAAATATATTGTACAGTTTTTTCCATAAATATATTTGGCATACGGAAAAATGTAGATATAAATAATGTTCGGCACACCGAAGTTTAAATACCTGCTATGTTTTTTATTTTCTTATTATGGTTTCTTTTCTGTGACAGATATAAGAGATTGAGCCTCAACCACGAGAATAGCATGAGCGGCATTTTTTCAAATTCACTTTTTAACCAAAACATTTATTAAATATTGATTGTCAACAAACAACAAAAATATGATTGATGTTCGTTTCACAAAATTAGCTTCTGGGAAATGAGATTAAATAGTCAATTGTTGGTGTGTGTGACCGTGGCTTTAGCATTCCGAATCTACGAAACGAAAGATTACACCAAACAAATGTGCGATGGATTGGCCGATTTTAACAAGTTTTATTAACTGAACTTGTTTTGCATCGTTCCGTTTCATATACTTAAGTCTGATTACTTGATTCGCATTCAAGTAGATATTTAGTAAATATTTAAAGAAATCTTTAAATTTTCATCAATACCTTAAATGTAATTGTTTTAGTCTTTTTTTATTTTTGCACCTCCTGTATTGGTCCAACAACTTTCTTTGTCTGCTAGGCCCTATTTGCATTTAATGAATGCGCAATTCTAGGGTTGTCGGATCGAATCAAACATTTATATCGAGAGGTTTCGTATTTTTTATCGTAAAAATATTCAAAATGGAACGCTAGTTGTTTATTTAAAGTGTATTGAAATGTTTACTTTTGACCGATGAATATTTTTGTGGGACTATTTTTAACAATTTTCACCTGATTTCTTTGGAAAAACTGAACACGTTGCGATGGTACCTTTGCAAGAACGTAGAACAATCAATTAGGAATGGGGTATACATTTGGCATTTGTTTGTGAGAACTTTTCAGAGATATGAGGAAAACCATTTATCGGCTCCATTATCCTACTGCTTCAGCTCTCAAAACTTTGAGTTAATAAGTCATCCTTACGATGATAATTTATTATTCTTTTTTACTATATATATAACGAAGTAATCAAAAAAAAGAAGGCTTAAGACGCCTGAAGAAGCCCTTAATGGCTTCAAAAAGGGTTGGAAATAGGTTTATTGCTTTTTTTTAGTTTTAGGAATAAAGATGTTTTTTGAGAGCTCTGGAAGGACCATTAAAAAACAAAAAACAGTTTCTTTTAAAAACCAATGAGCAGTTTTTTTTAAGAAAGGCTATTATTTTCTTTAAACTTTTGTAAATTGTGTTTAGTCTTAAGCACATATCGATTAAAAGGAGTTAGTAACTGACGAAATTTTTCTAAAATGAAGAATGCTTCACAGTTCTCTATCTTTAGTTAGCCCTGTCTTTGGCAAGGCAGTGTATAGCATTGTTTTTAGGCGTGTTTTGCGCAAATAAACAATTTAATATTAATTAGGAGTGTGTTTTTTTTTTCTTTCTTTCGGCCAGTTGCTCGCAGTTTATGACTTACTAATTGCCAAGATAAACAAACAGTTCTCGACGAAAACGGCATTAGGGCCTGCTGGTGAAAAACTTAAAAACGGAAAACACCGAAACGGGCGTACATTGCTCAATGGGCGATTATATATTATGGAATAGTATAGTTAAAGCAATGCACAAGTGGTGCTTGCTGTTGATAAACTAATGAGTGTTCGTGCGTTCTCGAGAAACATGTGATTGAATTTTCAAGTATATTGAATATTTATATTAATTTTCATATTTAAGCGTCTTACTTGTTGTTTGCATTAAGCGGTAACGGGAATTGGCAAACAACAAACCCAACCAGCAGCGAATCGTGCCACTCGAGAGCAGCTGTAAATCGGAACATTCAATACTACCAGATTCTCATATACTCGTACATATGTATATACCGATTAGTCGAGAGATCAAAGTCAACGATGGGCTGATCATAGACGAGCACTTGAGTTGGAAAAAAATGGAACTTTGATTGCGGATCGTCAAACAATGTAATTATTTACTATTTATACATACATATATACAATTTAGTATAAATACAAATATGAATATGGTAGTGGTAGAGTTAATTGAAGTCTTAAACTTGCAAGTTTTTCTCATCTTATTATGAACAGCAGGCCTTTTTAGTTATACAACTCTCTTAGATAAGTCACCGATTAGATTGGGGTCTGATAAGAAGACTACTCTGATAAGATCTCTTCAGAAAATGTTATGCTTTTCCATTCCAATCCAATGTTGTAGAAAGAAATTTTGCAGCAATCAAAAGAAATGTATGCATAAATCAAATAATGCGCACGAAGAGCAGAAATTAATTTGAATGCAAAATATAAGTGTTGATTCATATATGTAGTAGGAGTCCCAGGAAAATTGTACCGAAGATAAATAATAATGCACATATCAAATAAAAGACTTCCTTTTAAATATTCAAACAAGTTTATGGTGAAAATTGTTTATCTCGTGGTCAGTACACGGGAGATATATGTGATCCAAGAATGGTCGTGATGACCGAAATACTGATAAACAGATTGGCCAGCGAAAATTCTTAATTACTGAAGATATAGTCGAAAATCAGCCAGAATCTTTATTGAAAATTATTGGGAATTGAATTGAATATCTGCAAGAAATCGATGCATGGATAACTGAACATTCAGATGCAACATCGATATCCATTTTGAAAATATAGCCTTTACTGTCTTCTCCCTCCTAACACCATAAAAGAGAGATCTACCTTTTTTCCAATATAGTTCTTTTAATAATATAAGCCCACAACACAAAAATGATGTCATACTTTCCACTATCAAGAATAGAATGATAGATAGTGATTGAATATTACAGAACAACATCTTTAAGTAATTTAAAATGTTGAGACTATAATTTGTATTATTTGAACTTCTAGAACTTAATGTAGTTATCGATTTAATTATCTTACATTTGTTCACTAAGTTGACAAAGATTTAATGCGTCTTAAATAAATTGCAATAATGTTTTTAGGTGATTCTTAGGGGCTTTTTTACACAAATGTATCACAATAAATCATCCAGAATGTCAACATTAAAAGAATATTATACACATGTGTGTAATATATATGTACATATAAAGGTATATAGTATATTGGAACAAACGCTCATATCAACAGAACAAGAAAGTGAGGCAAAATTAATCAATGTTTAAATGAAAAGTGCAATAAATAAAGAAATAAATAAAACACAACGAACCTTTTTTTGATTTGCTTTCTCTTGTTTTGTTTTGTTTTGTAAGTATTATTCACTAACTGGAAATTGTAGCTGTTTGCTTTATTGATATAACAATTACGTTTTTGATGTGAGAACTTAATTTAATTCTTCAGATTGTTGACACTTTTATCAAAACACAAAAAACACTTGAACTTGCAGAAGCAATTTGAGCTTTTGCACTTTTTTTTCCAAAAACTTTTCTCTCTCACTCTCTGTCGCTTTTGTTGTAGCGCTCTTCTCTGTTAGCTGTAGATTAAAGGGGAATGGAATGCAAATGAAGCATATTTTTTGCACAAGTTTGGATAAGGCGATGTATATATTATATAGAGATTAATTATAAATTACGATTTTTTTGCAATTTCTGCGTTTATCGTTTCCAGACGCTTGAGGCGTTAGCGAGGGGGCAGGATGCGGATGCGATTAGATTAATTAAACACACATATGTATTTCACTTATGCCTGCTGTTGTGGTAGTTATCAGCACTTTTTTGACACCAAATAAATCACACAGCAAACAGCGAACGGCACGCACCAACAACAATAACAACAACCACTAGAACAACATAGCTTTAATTAAAATATGGAGCACAAATTATGCAGACGCGCGATTCTCATTTCCCACCCCAAGCAACAGAACATACGCATTGAGCATTGAAATCGCTCGGAAATCGCAGAATCGATGAAGTATGACGAAAATAAAAAGCCGAAGTTTTGGAACCCTTCAAAAATGACTGACACCTATTAAAGACCATTTAACGAAATGTAAATTGAGGAATTTATTTAAATATTATTAAGAAACAACAAACTATTTTTAAATTCTGTTTTCAAATCAGTTTTATAGCCTCAACAGAAAATTACACCAAACATCAATGACGACAGTCCATTCAAGGTCGCTAGCCCTTTTATATACATACATATGTATGTACTTATATTCCGATTTAATGCGGTTATTTTATAGATCAATCTTATCGATAAATCGCTAATTGTATTAAAAAAAACAGGTTTTTCTATCCTTTTTTAATCAAATTAGAAGAAATCAGTTGGTAATTAATTTGAGCTGATTTCAATTATTTACAAAGAAAAACGTTAAGAAATAAAAATAAATTAACATTACTTTTAATTTTAATTTAATGCTATTCTAGTTTCGATCGATCTTTGCTCTCGGCATACATATTGCAAACCTAAATTATTATGAAATGACGAGCATTTTCTCAATTTTTCTTTAAGTCAGAAACAAGAAGAAAATCAATCTGTTAACATGGGAGATTTGTAAAATTTCCTTCTAGGTGTTGCAAACAATTTCACTAAACTGTTAATTCCCTTTTGCAAGGGCATTCAAGAAGAAGAAGAAGAAAAAGAGCAGTCAAATGTCAGTCTGTTTGACGCACATATCAAATTGTCCGACAGTCTGGCCACGCAATTACACACACACACACACACACACACTGGAAATACTACATATATGTATAGAAAATTAATAGAGGCACGCACGAAACAGCGAATTGAATTTATTTGAATGAAATGCTTTGAATTTATATTGAAACAACTTTTTAGCTCCCCTCTCGCTATGTCTGTGGTATATCTTTGGCCGACTTTTTTTGTTGCCGTTTGGGGAATTTCCATTAGCTGTTGTGTTTCTTGTTGCTGTTGTTGTTGTTCTTGCTTGCTTGCTTCAGCAAGACGAAGCGCACTCTGTTGACTGCTGTTGTTGTTGTTGTTGTAGCATGGTTGTGCGTCTTTCTATGCACGTATGTATACATGTATGTGTTTAACTGTGTGTGTACGATGAGTGCGTACTTCAGCGACCAACAGCTGATCGAAAAATGCCGCTACTTTTTGCCGTGAAAAATTTCTTAATTTGCGCAGAATAATTTGTACAGAACAAAGAAAAACAACTATTTGTGTATTATTCATGGACAATTGGAACAATTGTTGTTCTCGGTGTTGTTGTTGTTGCTGCAGCTGCTATTTACAGTTTACATTGGCGCAGTTGGCATTTTGTTGTTGTCACAATTAAAAGCTTTGTAAGCAGCTTATCACAAAATAATAATATTATTAAGTAAACACTACATGTACTTCAGTTGTAAATGTACATTGCAGTTGTTGTTGTTGCTGTTGCAAATCGTCCACCATTTTATTTTCACGGCTTGTAGCACAACAGCAACAACAACTAAAATAATAATAGCCAGCAGCTGCGACATTATTATAAATTATTTTCTTTTTTCATTTCACTTTACATTTTCTATGCAGCTTTGCTCACTCTTTTTTTTCCTTTTTGACTTGTTTTGTTGCTGGCCAAAAAAAGGCGCAACAGGTAAAAAGAACAACAATACACTCGCACGCACACTGTTAAGAAGGCGCGCGCGCGCTTTTGCTCCCGAGGACTGTAAATAGCCAAATAATTTAACGCACAATTTAAATTCGATGCACTGCTGCACTCGCTAATATTTAATGGATAAATATTTTAATGGCTTTTCGACGACAAACAGAAAACGTTTGTAACAGAAACAGACACACACACTGAAAACAAGCGACGGCGACACTACGTCCACGAATTTACTTTTACACTAACTACTCGCGTTGCCACGACGGGGCGATCAGCTGTTTAGCGATGCGCAATATCTGTTACTTTGTCGCCAATCGGGTGGTGACTCGAGAATTTTAAGAGTAGCAAGAGAAAATATCACTGACCGTCCAAGCCACAAAGCCACCCCACTCACCAGCTGGTGAGTATCGTGAATAGCTTACCATATGCGCACGCGTTGCCTAGCAGCGAACTTTTGTTAGCTTATGCTTAGGCGGGCAGCAATTCAAATTTACTGTTACAATTGCGTGACAACGCAACACGTTAGACATATTCGTCAAAAAAAATTGGCATAGAAAAATAGTCGTAAATTGAGAAATAGCAAGTAATAATACTTATTTTTAGCAGTCATCAAAATAGGCGCATAATGGCCATGGCTTGTGGCATTGAACTTGCTTAGCAGGGGTCAAGGTTATTTTTGTACGGCTAGTTAATGAATGTATTTGACTTTTCGTTTGCTTTAAGCACTATTTAATTATTTTGCTATAATTTACTGATAGAGTTGCCGATTAAATTATTCACCCGACTAATTCCTTAGAAGCGTAATAATATCGAAAAGTTCTTAATGAAAGTTTTAAATAATGGATTGAAATATTAACTATTCTCTGCATTTTTTTTTGCTTATTAAAAATTTACTAATTTCGTCTCAATGGAAAAATTAACTTTTAGTTTATATGTTGTAAATTATGAGGGGTTTTTCATTTAAAAAAAATCTTGTTAGCCATGTTTCTGAGTTAAATTCTGGCTCGAAGCAGAAAGAATTCGTAATCTTTATCGAACCGAAAATATACTGAGAAATAACGAAGAGAAAGCAAAGACTGGTCAGCTATACATGTAATTGAATATAGTTTCGAATATCCAGAATTTATTTTTCATATCACTAATAAAAACTTGTATACCTTATATTACCGTTGGGGTACATATAAAATAATATAATAATAGGTATTACCTTGGACCATTTTATTTTAAAAGGAATGTGATTTTGAACCAAATATTGAATGATTTCAGTTCGGCTAAAAACCAAATGTTTACATAATTACATATTTTGAAAATATTGAAGGGGATAATTTTTCACACCATAATAGAGGTCTTAAGGGTTTAAGTTCTTGGACTGATACAAATTTGTATTTTAAATATGTTTTGCATAGCAACGTCGATCATTGAAGCTGATTTGCGCAATCGCCGGACCCAATTTGTATTTTAATTGTATTTTAAAGAACTTACACACCAATTTTTAAAAAAGATCTTTTTAGTTTTTGATTTTTGGTTACTTGAATACAACTCGACTATAAGTTGGGTATAAGTTGGATATAAGTTGGCAAGCCCTTGGCTATAACTGGGCTATAACTTGAGTATAACTTAAATATAACTTGACTATAAACTTAGCAATAACTTGGTTACAACTTGGCCATAACTTGGCAACTGGCTGCCTTTCCCCCTTCGCAGCGCCCATGCCTTTTGCTGCTTTGTTAATGACGTGCCGTTTCAGTCCCAGGACACTCACTTCACACTTCATAAGAACTCCAACTGGCTGACACATTGTTTTTATATATTGTTTGCAATAAAAATCAATAAAAATGGCGCAATGCAAGAGCAAAGGGCGCTTACGCCACTAAAAATGAACACCAAACCCAATTGCATGACGGCATTCCCTCTCCACATTCTTCTCTATTCGTTTGTTACATTTTTCGTGGAACAAAAAATTCAACTCACCTGCTCAATGTCAAAATCCCATTCAGGTGATGGTGAGCGCGCATTCCGAATCCGGCCACCTTGTGTGGGCGTGCCCTGTGCTGGGGAGCCCGCCTGCGGCTCCTCCGGTATGACGGCAAAGCGTCCACGTTGCAGTATGGGCGAAATGGCGCCATAATTAGCTGTGAAATATATTATATATACATGTATTTTATACGCTCGGCAGGGTCTAATTAAATGAGGCAGGCTGCCACTCACATGTCGGTATCAGACGAAAGCGTCCCAATGTCGTCTCTGGCGGTCCTTGTGGCGCTGAGGATGTGATCCGAAAGCGTCCGCGACGAGCGGCGGCCACTTCTTCATAGCCGCCGCCGCCGCCACCAGCGCCACCTCCTCCTCCGCCCGCCTGCATACTCTAACTGGTATGTCTTCTATGTATATGTATATATATATATATCTATATATGTGTGTGTGTCTATCTGCTATTGAGCCAATAATGCAATTTGTTCAACTGCAAAAAAAAAGCGAAAAGAAAGAGAATGAGTGAGAGAGCAATGTTTGTAAGTCAATCAACGCTGGGCGCGTGAAAAATGTTGGCTAAATATGTTGGGGGCGAAGGGGCTGTATGGGGATGGGTTGACAACTTGTCACGCCTGCAAACAAAGCCATGAAAATCGATAGTCTCTGGCCGGGCTCCGGACATTGTGGCACATTTTGTTTGCTGCAACTCCAATGCCTGCCGCAAAAATGCCAAGAGTCGCAAATCGCATTCATTACGCGCCTCGCTGCACGCAAACAAAATGAACGGACCTGACAAATGAGAAATGGCGTTGACTTTCTGAATCTACCAGGTAGGCGGCCATTTCAGATGCCCAGAGCGCCTCACACTATGCTATAGTTTAATGGCGCTTGAATAACATTTTGCAATAATAGAGAGAGACAGAGAGAGAGAGACACAAAGGTAGTGCTGTGCGCTAGTTACGTCACAGTCTGTGACAACCGGAAAAACAGATGACACTTTGGTAACTGAACGATTGCCTTCCCCATAACATATTCCATTACTAACTACTTAGATATTTAAAACAGATGAAAACAGCAGATAGAATGGCTTACTGTCCCTAAGATGTCATATTCAAACAAAAACTGGAATATCTGAAATCCTATCTGCCCAAAAATTGGTGCTAACTGACAAGTAAGTAGTCTATGAAAACTAAATCTAATGGATGTCTTTTTTGGCAGAAATTGTGTTTTAGTCTAGAATTCTCTGACTTGTTCGTGAAGTTCAAGACCTTTTTCCAAAAAAATGTTATCTTGCAGATTAGAGTTTTCCCCACAGCTAAATCCATTGTCAAAACAAGATATACAAGTATACAAGCTAAGATTTTTGAAATTTGCTTTTCGTAAGCACTTCATAAGAGGTCTACTTAGCACACAGCCTGAAAGGCACTTAAGTTTTAAATTTTTTAGAGGAACAGTTTGGTTTCTTCTATCTAATCTCTTCTTCTTTTATTTAATCTCAATAAACACTCACTCCCCACTCTCTCGCAATATCAGGGAAATATGATATAGAACATTATATGTCATAAAAGCACAACCAAATTCTACTGTCACTGTTCCAATAATTAGAACTTTCGGAAATTGAAAGCAGACCACGAAATAGTGCGGAAAATTCTGCGCTGCAACGCAATGTCATTCAACTGTTGTTACAATAACAAATACACTGAGAAGAATAGCAAACGGGAGGGAGAGGGAGACAGAAGGAGGGCCATGCGGCGTATGTGTAATTTTTTCATTGCTGTGCCAATTGAAACGTTTTAAACGATGGAATTGGTGAACATTTTTATCATTTTTTTTCTCATGATTTCGGGCACGCGCATGACAAGCACGCAAGCTGTTCAAATTCATTGGAATTTGTTTTCAAAATTATTGTTTCATCTTATGTGCTATATAAATATAAATAATTCGCAGAATTTCGGCACTCTTTCAGAAACAAATGATCTTAAATATAAATATGCAATTCGTTTTGATATTATATGTACATTGAAATTGTTCTTCCCTAAACATATTTTAAGCATATTTGTACACCCAGAGTAATTTAATTATGTTCTTTTTTTTAAAACTAGAAAACACACTTCCAATTTGAAACAACTTCTGAAACTAATTTCATATATTGAGCCAGTTTTTCTTAAATATAAAATACCCACAGAAATTATCATTTTTTCAATTTAAAGGCGAGCTTTAATGCGAAATCTTTTGCTGAATATAAAGAAAAAATTTCTTAATCAAAAAACTAACAGCGCTGGATTGATCTATCATTCATATTAATTATTATATATTAATTCACAGTTGGATTTCTATTGTGAGCTACTGTTAGTCCCCAGGCGACAGATACCACCAGCAGAGCTAGACATGAGAGGTAGCTGGTAATTAAATACTTATGTGTCAGACTTGATACCAAACTGACGTGAGGGGCGCAGACCCAGCACGCTAGGACCAGGGCCGCAAGGGCAACACTCAACACTCAGCAGACCCAAGGCAAACAAAGGCGGACCCATCAATCTGGGTGGAGATTGCTGACGGATGTAAAGAACGCCATTCTGATATAATAATAGCAAATGCAATTGCTGGCGGTACAAAGAACCAATGAGCTGTAAAACCGATTGTCCAATCTACTAGCAACAATATCTACAAGTCAGACCTCTGCTAGCTCCTTACTATTCCTCATAGGTAAAAGCATAAAAGACATAATGTAGAGCATACAGTCTTCCAATGGCAGCGATTTGCAGCAACTATCGCAAGCACGCGGTCACATCATGCAGGACTACCTCATATGTAGAGAAATTGTGAAGGGAACTGGCTAAACAAAAAGGAACTTGATCAGAGTAACCAACATGACAGAAGTGGAGCGCGCAGAGCGCAAATTGGGGCTCCTTCAAAATAATATCAAAGCTTTATTAATTAAAGATATATGGGGATATGGCTGGCGGAGGGAGCCTACCGTCGCAGTTAGGCTTGCACTCCCAAAATCCTCCCTAAAAAATATTCTGAATAATGGAGAAACTACCACATTCTGAAATAAACTCTAAAACGGAGCAAATAACAACTTTCTATTTATACCCCAAATATATAAAGTACCGGCACATTAATTAATACATTCATTGGATACAGAATGTTAAATTTCATTGAAATTTTGTGTGTAATTAAATATGTTAATAAACATGATAATACATGAAAAACTATATATC